ATAGACAAATTAGAATTATGATACATTTACGCACATAAATACAAACGAACGCTGCTTGACAAGTCAAATGCACATGAAACCTGCTTAACCAATGAAATCAAACAACAGAGAAATAAAAATACCAATTTTTTTTCATATCTCATTCTGTGATGAAGCTTTAATAAAAGCGAAACATGTTAGATTTATAAACGTTTCCTATTAGTTCTTAATCCTATAATTCTGTCGGATTCCAATCTGTATTTGATTCCAACTCACATTAATGATTTCTTCTGTAGTTATGAGAAGAATCAGTATAATTTCAAGTATTGTCCGGACTACTAATCTAATTCTATATATTGCTTTTGTTATTGCCATAATGTTTCACGCGTTGTTGCGTAAAGAGACTTTTGTAAGCTTCGCTTTGCTAAGAATGAACGAGTCGATCGTTACGCAAGTCATTATTTTACTTTTCGTCGCCAATCTTAGAAGTAAAGAGATCTCGTTCGCTTTCCTTACACGATATACAATTGGTGCAAATAACAGCGAATAAATCAGCGCATTAAATCGCATACGATTCAGTAAAATAATCTAGCAAACATGCAAGCAAATAAACATAATAAAATATTTTAAATAAATAAAACAAAATAGAACGTAAAAAAAGAAGAAAGCAAAATCTACAAACTAAATACAAAATGTTGCACAAAGAGCGGGGAAATGCTAGGAAATCAAGGGAAGTAATTCTAACGACACGTCAAGACGACCACAGATGCTCAAGCCCTACTGCTGTGACAGGCAAGGTTTTAGTCTTTAGTTGAAAGACAGACACAATCGTACATTATTTACATTATTCGGACTATTGTCCTCATCTTTGTCGCTATATTTATTACAACGTTTCGGTCGTTGTACGCTCCAGCCTTTTTCAGATGGTTGGAATGTCGAACTGAACCCTTTATTTCGCTCACTGGGGTAGACTGTTCGAGTTCAAGAACATCTGGTGCAGTGGATAAAAGACGTTGGTTAGATCCAATGACAGGACCCAAAGAGTGTGAGTTCAATACCCGGTTAAGGCAGTGGAGAACTTTCAGAGGGAAAATTAACAGGAGATAACTGATAACTGAAATCCATTAAACATGGCACGTGGAACTAGAACAATCCACCAGTGAGCGAAATAAAGGGTTCAGTTCGACATTCCAACCACCTGAAGAAGGCCGGAGCCTACAACGGCCGAAACGTTGTAATAAATATGGCGACAAAGATTAGGACAATAGTCCGAATAATGTAAATAATGTACATAATACCTCATCTCAGAAATATAGACAAACAAAATCGTGCTGTGGTTATTGGTTGGCTGGCGTTACATTTTCAAATAACGGATTGTTGGAGGAAGAAGCATATTATTATTATTATTATTTGTTAATATTCTTCTTCTTCTTCTTCTTCTTCTATGTACCGCGTCTCTCAGGACATGCATCGAGCGCTGACTGCTTACCACTGACCAGCAAAGGGCGGTGAGGAGCAAGGGAATGCGAGTGCGGCAGCGAACGAACGATCGAAACCTTGCTTGTGACCACAAAACACGACGGATTCGGACGAAGAATACGACGGCGGAGGCGGCGGGGGCGGAGATCGTGAAGACCTGAGGCATAATTGTGGTCGGTGTGCCTCGGTTATAGGCAGCGAAAAACGCCAGTAATATACATAGCCTCTTCATTTTTGACCGATACTATTGCCAGCCGTCCGACGCTCGTCCAACAGCCGCTTCAGAGTCCCACAACCGCTCGTCTTATACTCGTCCAAGGCTCATTAAATCGCGCATTTTAGTGGTCCAGTCGTACATTTATAATGTTTATTACTTTGTTATTGTGCGCCCGCGTCCACCATACACTCGCTTATCTGAATACTCCTACGGGGAGCAATCAATCGCGAATTTTAGTGGTCGAGCCGTACACCAGTAATACCTTTGATGTCTGGTACGGTGCACCTTAGGGTGGACGGGCATCAACTTGTCCTCAACCATCTACTAAATTTCTCACGTGATGGCTACAAGTTAAAATGCCCCCAGTAAATTGTTTCAGCTGGCCGGCTAGACTCACGTGAAGGGGTGGTGTTAACACGGCACACCTGGGCGAAGGACCTCCTTGACGCAGGTCACCGGCCAGGAGGAAAAGGTTTCTTCAGATGAACTACAACGGCCATGTATTGACGACACAGGCGATCCACCTACTTGGAGGACATCGGCTGTGGTTTAACCTGGAGGGGGATGAGCCCCGCCAGGTTAAAATGCTCAAGACACGCCATATGATGAGCAGAGCACGAAACAATTCACGGAGACCCAGGCTATGGCACGCAACGACGACAGATGGGAGAGAATGAGGGACAGCACAGCATGTTGGCGACTCCTTCCGGAGTTAAAGGCGAAAGAAGAAGAAGAAGAAGAGGAGGAGGAGGATATATGAATAATGCCAGTATCGTTAGAATTAGTTTAACTCATCAATCGATGTTCTCGAAAGGTCTGAAAGAATAAGAATGTTAAATTTTGTCGCATGCCGCACAATATGTCGCTATGTTGTCTCCCATTTATAGCTTGATAAAGATATGTTCTCTGATAACTGGCGCACACATCAAACGACCCCCAAAATATCTATCAATATGTGTCTATTAACATGGGGAATAATATCTTTCCAAAAATTACCTTTCTATTTTTTATCTATCAATTGGCATGATTTTTTTGGTAATATATATATATATATATATATATATATATATATATATATATATATGAAAATTTCTCCGATTTAACCAGTAGAGACAATATTTATGAATAAAATGAAAAACTAGTTTTCCTATTGTCATTTTATTCATATATATATATATATATATATATATGTGTGTGTGTGTGTGTATATATATATATAATTTTTTTTTTTTAAAGACATTTTTATGTTTATACATTCTTTTTATAGTCTTAAAAATAATTGTCGGATTTTTGACCATTTCATATATATATATATATATATATATATATATATATATATATATATATATATCCAATTTATATATTATATATACGTTGTACTTATTTACGAGCGCTGAATATCAGTGATAGAGCTAACATATTTAGTTAGATTGATGTGAGTTTGTGACCCAGGGTTTCACGCTATTTGCGATCGTCAGACAAACATATATATATATAAATAAATATATTTACATATTTTTATAAATAAACATTTTAAATAAACTTTGTTATTTAAAACTGTATATATATATATATATATATATATATATATATATATATGTATATATATACTTTTACATAACTATTGTTATTTAAACCTTGAGAAATATTTTCTTTTTCCTTTTCGATTTGAAAGTCTGATGAATTGGGACCGTTTTTATGACCCCTAGGAAATAACTATAACCTCATGAAATTTTAAGTGTTCGTTCCTTTTATAATAATAATTATTACTTTGTCTCTGGCTTAGAGCTTTCCCTGGATTTATATCCTTTTCGAAATATCTATACCGATCAATAATATTATCATTATATATATATATATATATATATATATATATATATATATATATATATATATATATACCTTACAATCTTCGTAACACTATCTACATTTCTGGTGAGCTTTACAGCCTTCCTAATATTCTCTAAAGGTCTAGTTTACTTTACAGCCTTCCCAATATTGTCTAAGTTTCTGGCGGGTTTTGCAACCTTTCTAATATTGTCTAAAGGCCTAGTACACTTTACAGATCTCCAAAAATCATCTAAGGTTCTGGTGCCATTTACAGCCTTCTTAATACTGTCTAAATTTATGGTGCACTTTACAGCCTTCCTAATGCTATCTAAATTTATGGTGCGCTTTACAGCCTTCCTAATATTGTCTAAGGTTCTGGTGCGCTTTACAGCCTTCCTAATACTGTCTAAATTTATGGTGCGCTTTACAGCCTTCCTAATATTGTCTAAATTTATGGTGCGCTTTACAGCCTTCCTAATATTGTCTAAGATTCTGGTGCGCTTTACAGCCTTCCTAATACTGTCTAAGGTTCTGGTGCGCTTTACAGCCTTCCTAACACTGTCTAAGGTTCTGGTGCGCTTTACAGCCTTCCTAATACTTTCTAAGGTTCTGGAGCGCTTTACAGCCTTCCTAATACTTTGTAAGGTTCTGGTGCGCTTTACAGCCTTCCTAATACTGTCTAAGGTTCTGGTGCGCTTTACAGCCTTCCTAATACTGTCTAAATTTATAGTGCGCTTTACAGCCTTCCTAATACTGTCCAAGGTTCTGGTGCCATTTATAGCCTTCCTAATATTGTCTAAAGGCCTAGTGTACTTTACAGCCTTCCTAATATTGTCTAAATTTCTGGTACGCTTTATAGCCTTCCCAATATTTTTACAGGTCTGTTGTACTTTACATCCTTCCCAATGTTTTCATAAGTTCTGGTTTGCTTTAGACTCTTCTAATACTGTCTAAAGTTCTAAATTGAAACACTGACATTATTCTATGAATTATTTTGGCTCTTATCTTCTTGCTCGTTGTTTTGATCACTACCTTTTGGCCGGTACACTCTCCGGCTTTCCTCATATGCATGCAGTAATCCATGAACTGTTTTTTTTGTTTTGTTAAGTTTCATTGCGCCTTTAAATCGAGAAATTCATAAATCTGGATGATAATGACTGCTTTCATATAATGTAAAAAGAAAAGACTTTGAAAATGACCAAGGACTCTGTAATGATCTCTTTCAAGATCATTTATTGCAACGTATACTTGAGGAATGCCAAAGAGCGCACCAGCCAAAATATAATGCTCGAAACAGGATGGATGACAACACGAGACTAAACCGTCAAAACAGACCGGAAGTGATATGTAGTGATAAAAAAAAGAAATGCTAAGAATGAACGAATAATTTCGAGAATGTTCTTCAGAGATGGGTGGAAAGCCAACCGACCGAAAAGTGGGAATTAAAAGAGTAAAAATAAAGCGTGAATGATTTATGGAATGCTCTTGAACTTACTTTCGCAAACTGGACAGCACTGACCAGGAACTCGTCGTGGATTGAGGCAGGGTACCGAACACATTGCTGTCTGACATTCGACAATTCCTTCGTTGCAACGACAAGTAACGCAGTCGTCCTCTTTCCAACTCTCATTGTTTTTGTACAAATTACCGTTCGCCATGCAACCTGGAGAAAATGGAATCAAGAGAAATCTATTTTATAGTTGTAGACATACATTTATTGTTATAGAAATAAAAAAAATATGGTTCTGGGAATATCGACCAATACCAATTGTTCTCCATGATTGCCAAAAGATTTCTGCAGGTATCTGATTTATTGTATAGTTCTTACTCATTCAATCACTCTTTCTATCTATATATAACGGGTTGTTCATATCTATCTATCTATCTATCTATCTATCTATCTATCTATAAAGGATTGTTCACATCTATCTATCTATCTATCTATCTATCTATCTATCTATCTATATAAAGGATTGTTCACATCTTTCTATCAATCACGGATTGTTCACATCTATCTATCTATCTATCTATCTATCACGGATTGTTCACATCTGTGACTTCGTGCTAGTACCGCTATCGACGGTCTCCAAGAGTTCCGTCTACTCAATTTCTATCACGTGGCATGGTTTTCAGGCACTTTCCACATGTGCCGCATATCATCAAGAAATCATCTTCCTGACAAATCGATCATATTGAGATTTGAACTAGGGTCTAATAGTAAGAAAGCGAACTTTCTTACCACTATATATATATATATATATATATATATATATATATATATATATATATATATATATATAAATGAACATAGAAGTCAACACTTAGAGGCCACTGTCTGTTTCATGCTAGACGCAATTTATAGTTAATATATCAAGTATTAAAGATTACTAGCAAAGCGGGAATAAAATAAAATAAAGTAAGATATATTAATAATATTATTTATAATATTATTAATCCTCATTAATACAATTGTAATTAATAGAGGATAATATATTAAAGACTCCGACTGACACCAGTTCAGTCGGGTTTCGACCCTAGCTGGAGGCAACCGGATGTCTAGCCACACTGATGAGCTGTGAAACAGCGAAACAGTCTGTCTGTGGATGATGGTATATTGGCTCCTGAAAAATTAATTTCAGTTGAGCTCTCTGGGGAGGATATGTGGGTTGGTAAACAGTGACTATTATAGCTATATATCGAGACTCTTCGCTAATGCGAATTGAGTCACTCCCGGTCACTGGGCGTGTTCATAAAGATAAACACGCTAAAAATCCACTTTCCTCCCTTGGCTTAATGGTTAGAATCTCCGACTGACACCAGTTCAGTCGGGTTTCGACCCTAGCTGGAGGCAACCGGATGTCTAGCCACACTGATGAGCTGTGAAACAGCGAAACAGTGTGGCTGTGGATGACTTGTGTATATATATATATATATATATATATATATATATATATCTATATATATATAGTCTTAAGCTGTGCTACCTTTATGGGATAAAGAGATAGATCATGTGTAAATATAAAACTGAACATTGAAGTCAACACAAAGTTGAGTTTATTAAATTACATATCAAAAAGAAAACAAAACAAAAGTGCTATGTGAATATCTGACCTTTGCAAACAGGGCAGCACTCTCCTTCGGGTGTTTTCATCCAACTACACTGCGGACTATTGCAAGTTTGAGTCTCGCAATAAATCAACCGATTGTCACATTTGCATTTCGTACAGTTATCCAATTTCCATTCACTGTTGTGCGCATATGTTCGGCCGTCGGAATAACAGCTTTCACTTTTATCTGAAAAGGAAATAAAATTATTAAAGAGGATCGGTATATGATAAAAAATTGGAAACAAATCTTAGTTTTTTGTCGACGCGTTTCATCTTCCGACTATTTCAAGGCAAAAATGAAATGGAAATGTTTTTGCTGTTACTTTGAATATACGCTAGGGGGCGTCGTCAGTGATGTTCTGAATTGGATCATTGGGCAGTTTCGGGACTTTCAAACATCATACTCCCCTCACCAAGTCGACCCCATCAGAGATGATCAGTCATTGATTCCCCACCCACATCTAAATTAACAACCTACAGACACTGACTTATATTAACCAAACCAAACGAAAAAATGAATTTAAAATTTACACTTTTGACGGGCAATATTAAGCTTATATAAGTTGAATTAAAAGGTGATGAGTAATGGTGTGAGAGGCATGGTCGAGTTTAGAGAGGGAAGGGAAAGTTTAAAATTTATCTTTATATTTCTTTTTATTACAATTGTAATAAAAAAATATAAAGATAAATTTTAAACACAAAAGTGTAAATTTTAAATTCATTTTTTCGTTTCGTCTTTGAAAGTAATGTCTGAGGATCCAGAGAAAACGTAAAATTCTCTGGTGAAATAAATTATTACGATGGAGCTTTAAAGTGGTCTGTTTTTCATTTAAATTAAATTATTCGCTCTGATTTAACATTGAGCTCTCAAGATTTAATCCTCCTTTGGATTATCCATACGGATTACCAAGATTTTCGACACTTAACTATATATATATATATATATATATATATATATATATATATATAGATAGATAGATAGATACACCTAGTGAGCCAGACAAACCTACCTAGGTTTCACCTAAACGGATCGTCAGGGAAAGTTCATGTTTGAACGGATCGCAGAAGTTCATGTTTGTAGCTCTTTCTTTTTTTAAAACCTTTTTTCCCTCGAGATTGATTTGATTAGCAAATCAAAAATTCGAGGGTTTTTCAAAACGAGTCTAGTTATCTATATTTATATATATATATATATATATATATATATATATATATATATATAGGGTGTCCATAAAAATTCGTGTGCACTTTAAAGTTATAAATTTTTAAAAGTGCACACGAACTTTATGGACACCTTGTATATGGATTAAAAATAGATCCATTTATATATGTGTGTTTGTGAGTGATTCTAATATAAATGCATATGTGAATATAGTTTCACTATGCATATAGGTATATAAATATATGAATGTGTGTATGAAGATGGGTGTCTCTCCTTAGAATTACACTGAATGACCTCTCCTTGCAACTGCACGCGTTCTATATGCTGGATGGGAACGGTCAAACAATGATGGAAAATGCAGAAAGGGTTGAGTGTTGGAGTATTGAATGTTTCACATTTAGTTTAAATTGGATTATGAACCTGGTCTTGTTGAAGCTGTTAGTTGAAGTTTTGGCCACCAGCATCCGTTCGCACCCTTTGCCCCTCCCACCGTCCGACTGGTCTGCCGCTCCAGCACTATGTCCCTTTGACCCTTCCGTATTTCCTCTCCATATCACTTTCATATCACGTCACCAGAGCCAGGAAGTTTGAGCAGGGACAACAGAAACGGACGACGTGTTTAACGTGACACAGGGAGATTAATCAAAGATTTTTCTCACTCTCTCTCTCTTTCTCTTTCTCTCACTCTCTCTTTAACTCTCTTTAATTCTCGCTTTCTCTATCACTCTCTCTCTTTCTCCTTCACCCCTATAAAGACAGTGTAGGCCAAAAAAAAAAAAAAAACGTACAAAGAGAGATAGTGACATGTTAGTAGCACACACTCAAATACGCAACTTCAAGCACAAACACATTCATTCATTCATGTTTTCTTTTTTCTTACTTTCTTTCCTTTTTTATCTCAATTTGTCAATTATCTATTTACGTATGCTCTTTCATCTATCTATCTATCTATCTATCTATCTATCTATCTATCTATCTATCTCAGTCTGTTCATATCTATCTATCTATCTATCTATCTCATTCTGTACGTATCTAACTATCTATCTCAATCTGTTCATATCTATCTATCTATCTATCTATCTATCTATCTATCTATCTCTCCACTTTAAAGCATTCTGAATGTAAAAATAAAGAAAAAAGTGTGCAAGACAATAAGAAACACTACCTGCCAAAAAAAGTGAAGTTTTGTTGAAATCGGTTGAAAAATCTAGGAAATCCGATTACATATATAAACGAACGCACACACACACACACACACACACACACACACACACACACACACACACACACACACAAACAACCTGGGTTTTATAATAAGTATAACTCGATATGAGTTTTCCCCCTTTCATTCTGGCGACAGAATCGTGTTTTATCGTGTTTTCAAATTGATTTCGTGCAAAAACAATTGTGTTTTTTCAATTTTTGGTGCTGTCAGAACCACCACAAGGTATCCGATCCAATATATAAACGAACACACACACACACACACACACACACACACACACAATCTGCGTTTTATAATAAATAATATATATATATATAAATATAAAGGGTGCGATGAATAAATTGTCGTCTAAATTACGCAAAAATGAAAATAACACTGCCATCTCATTTTAAAAAATGTATTTAGCAAAATTACATAAACATATCCTAAAATATTAAAGAATAAATCCATTCAATAAAATCGTCATTGGCTCCAACCATGGCCTCCAGACGACTTCGGAGTCTTCAACTCTTCTAGATGGTCTCCTTATTTAAGTTGGTGAATGCTGCCATAATTCTTGTATTCAGTTCATCTTTCGTGTTCTAAGGAGTTTTGTTCTCTCGCTAACCTGGGCCCCACACATAATAATCAAGGGGTTTGCGGTCTGGGTAGTTAGGTGGCCAGATGTATGGGGTGAAGATATTGTCTGACAGCCATAACTGTATTCTCCTGCTATTGGAGTTCAAAAGCCTCTTCGAGCTCTTGTGGATGGCTTATTATTCTATACCCTCCAATGTCTCTCCCACAGGCGGGACGTGACAAGCCTCTCAATGTTCTACTGCTACTTCTACGGAAAGTGCTCGGACGAACTATATTACCCGGTCCCGCTGAGGCAACCCTACTCAGTAAAAACACGCTATGCCACTTACATAGTAACGAACCACCTTCATTCCCTTCGTATTCTATCGCTGAGAAGTAAGTTCCACTCGGACAGCTTATTTCTGTGAACCACTATCCTGTGGAACCGATTCCCAACAGGGTGTTTCCCGATTAGTACAATCTTTACCTGTCCAAGTCTAGAATCAACCGTTACCTTCCCTTCCATATAAATTACCTCTTATCGTAACCTTCTACCACGAGTGGCCCCCGGGCCTTGTAAAGAGAGAACATCGCTGTAAAAAAAAATAATCCGTTAATTTCTTGAAACTTCAGATAGACGTCTAATCTCTCCTTGGATTCGGAATGCCACAAATTATACGAACGGTTTAAAGAATAGAATGTATGTGATACATGACTGACCAATGAAAATCAAACTAGGTGAAAGTAAAAATACCATAATTTCTTGACAAAGCTTTATATACTATTTACAGATAGGATTCGAAAACAAATTCATACTACACTATCTACATCTTTCATGATCATTAAAACTGATTAAATTCCCATAACCAAAATCTGATAAAATTAATTTCAAATAGCAACACTTAAGACGAAATAAAAAACAAAACAAAAAACACAACAAATAGAAAAAATAAATACACAAATGAATAAATTAAGAAATAATTAATAAGTATATAAATACAGAATCTATATCTCATGACAAAAATAGCCTTAACCTATATTCACTTCCACCAACAGCCAACCAGCATAGAAAGGCATTCGGGAGGTGTGAAAATTTGCAATGGAATGTTCCGATGAGATAATTTGTTCTACCAGCACTGATCTTTTCTTTTAGAACACGCCATGCCTCTTCTACAGAACCGAATCACCCTAATTTCCTTTGTATTCCAAATGTAACGAGTGTCCTGATGCATGCTGCAATAACTGACCAGCAATGGATAATTTCTGGACAACCCATCACTTGATTGTGAATGGTATGTTGGTACCCGTCTCAAAGGACTTGGCGTCGCATGTATCCATTTAGAGTTTTAAATAAATGCTATTTAACACGTAGTACTCGGTATCAGGTTCGTCCTGGGTTAGACGTTGAACTACATCCGCGTTCTGGGTAAGACGTTAAACTACGTCCAGCAGCAAGGCCTCGGATCAGGAGGTTTTGAGGAGCATGGAATCACCTCTTAATTGCTGGTGTTCCCAGGTCCACCCTGACCCGGGATGGTAGCACCTGTTAGGGTCCCAGCTATGGGCAAATAGTTAATTATTACCAGCAATACTTTTTTAAAAAAAATTATTAACAGCAATACATTTTTGAAGGAAATATATTACCGGAATCAGATTTTTGACAAAACAAAATATTACCAGCAATAAAAAATTTTGTCAGCATTAAATAACCCATTCAGGTTGATATGCCGTAAAACAAAATAAAGCAAACCAATCTAAACCAAAGAATACATATTCTATTTATACAATCTATCCTAAAAACGTTGTTGGAATTAAATTATCCACTGAGGTTGATATGCCGTAAAACAAAATAAACCAAACCAATCTAAACCAAACAATACATATTCTCTTTATACAAATCTATCCTAAAACCGTTGTTGGCATTAAATAATCCATTGAGGTTGATATGCCGTAAAACAATATAAACCAAACCAAACCAAACCCCGGTATCAAGTAACCCCCCTCCAAAAACAGATGGTGAAGGTGAGCTCTCGGTAACTCTAATTATTGCGATTTTATTTGTTGAGTTTAACTACCGCGGTTCGTGCTTGAAAGAGAAG